GATGTTCAATTAGGAAAATATTCATGATACATTGTTAGAGATTTTTTAAATGCAAACTATAGAGCTATATATATAACATGATCCAAACGTTTCTTTAAGAAATATATCCATACATTTAAGAAACACATGAAGGAATAACAGGCTGATCCTGGGGCCTAATATTATGGATTATTTTTATTTTCTCTTATTCTTTTCTATACTTTCCAAATTTTCTATAATAAAGTATATTATATCCATAATTTAAAAGTTAATCCATTGTTTACAAAGGTTTCCAAGTACAAAAGGAGTAAGACTTCCATAGCGACATCAAGATTTGGTTTTCCTTTAACTCCATTTATTTATTCATTCATTCGGCGAACACCCGCTGGTTTGTGCTGTGTGGGGCTCTTGCTTCGAGTGGACTAGGTGCAGGTCCCTTGCGGGGCTCCCTGTGCAGCAGGTGGCCGAGGCTGTCTGCTCAGACAGCAATGACCCCCCTCGATGTGAGCCCCATAAGGACAGGACTTTGTCCGGCTCGTCCCTGTATCCCAGGCCCTGGGATGGGGTCTGAAACGGGTGCTTCAGAAATACTGACAAACACCTGAGTGACGTCGGGGAGGCCCGAGGTCCGGTTCCAGCCCCTTGACTTCCAGTTTCCACTTGTGCAAAGTGGGGGGAGGTACCCACCTCGTGGGGTGTTTGAAAGTCTCTCACACAATGCCTGGAAATAATACTAGACCCAACAAAGAATAGAAATGATTTATTTCAAGTCGGGTAGATTATGAAGGTGTACAAAGCCTGGGGTCAGACCTTCCTCTGCAGGTATCTGGGGCTTGACTAGGAAGAAATTGGGTTTAAACTTCGGAAAAGCTGTGTAGAGCACATTCCCACTAATCTAGGAAAAGGGAAGGCATTAAATTTTTTTAAAATATGTTTTTACTGATTTTAGAGGGCGGGGAAGGGAGAGGGGGAGAGAAACATCGATCAGTGTGAGAAGGCATTAAATTTTAAAATGAAAACACAAACCAAAAAGTGGGAGCAGCGAAAGCTAGCTGAAGGGAGCGGGAGGGAGCAGGATAGAGGGGCAGAGACGGAGGCGAGAGCGCTCGGAGCGCCCCACGTTTAGCAGACCCCACGGAAACCAGGCAAAGGTTTCACGTAATCCAAAAACAATGTTAACTGTTTCAAAAAGAAATTCCAGATCTCAAAAAGCAAAGCAAACACCACGCTGACTTAGGGCACATTGGTGATGCGCAGGTGGAGAGGAGTTACTCCGAGTGACGGAAGCCTAGTCACTGTCACTCTGTCCCAAATACGCTGTTCCCTAAAGGCAAAGCAAAACTAAATAAACTGCAAGAGAAAAACCCAATAATCATACTGCTGGTATTCTTTTTTTTTTTTTCTATTTTTATTGATCTCAGAGAGAGGAAGCTAGAGACAGAAACATCAATGATGAGAGAGTCATGGATCGGCTGCCTCCTGCTCGCCCCCTCTGGGGATCCAGCCTGCACCCAGGGCCTGGGCCCTGACCGGGAATAGAACCGCGATCTCCTGGCTCCTAGGCCTCTCCCGCGCTGGGCCCGCGGGGGGCGGTGTTGCTGTTCTTATCCGTGAGTGCCATAGGAGGTGGCACTTGGCAAATAAGTACATCTTCCAGCGGGAACCGGAGAAAGGGCCACGCATGGGAGAAACAATATGCAGATGTAAATGCACGAGGCCTACGTTAAAATGCTGTGGCCCGGAATTTACACCGCGAGGGTCAACATGAACTCATGATGTACTTTTAACAGTCATACACTTTATTTTTTGAGCAGTTTTAGGTTTATAGGAAAAACGAGCAGAGTACAGAGAGTTCCCACGAACACCTTCATCCCCTCCTGGCCCCTAGTTTCCCGTTATTACTAACATCTTGCATTAGTGACAGGTCCCTCTGTTACCACGGATGAGCCAATTTTGATACGATATTAGTAACTAAAGTCCATAGTTTATGTTAGGCTTCGCCCTTAGTGCTGTGCACTCTGTGGGTTTGGACAAACGTGTAATGACACCCACCACGGCAGTGTGGGACAGGATAGTTTCGCTGCATGGGGTGGCACTCAGCCAACTGAGCCACGCTGGCCAGGGCCACAGTTCTGCTTCTATCTGCCTGGATTAAGCCGCCCAACCCGCCCCTGGTGGGCTCCTCTACCGGTCAGTGCTGTGCTGGGCTCTCCGGGTCCAGCATAATCCAAAAGCAGAATTGTGGCCCTGGCCAGTGTGGCTCAGTTGGTTGAATGTCGTCTCATGCACCATGAGGTCACCAGTTCAATTCCTAGTCAAGGCACATGCCTGGGTTTCAGGCTCCTTTCCCTTTGGGGGTTTGTGGAGGAGTCAGCCAATCGATGTTTCTCTCTCTAAAATCAGTAAAAGCATGTTTGTTTGTTTTAAAAAACAGAATTGTGTAGCAATTAAGAGCCTGGGCCCTGAAAGACAGAGGTTCACATCCCAGCTCTCCCGGCACCTGCCTTCACCTGCCGGGGCCCCGGTCTCCTCATCTGTAGATGGGGGACACTATGAGTCACCCTCATAACGCTGTGGCGTAGACTCCGTGTGAGACTGTGAAGCGCTGAGCTCGGTGCCAGGCTGGGTGGTACCCGACAAACAGCGGTGATTTCTGCTGCTATGATTATTAGTAACTATTCCACAGCCAGAATATAAAGCAGGGCTTCCCCCCCAAATGCTCCCCTCTCCTTGCCTCTCGCAGAGCACGCCGTAGCAGGGGATGCTTTCTCAAGCACTTCATTCCGACAGCAGAACGCCGTTCCGGGAAGACGCACCAGCCAAAAATGACCTCACTTGGTGCTCATTTTTGATGTTAATCCCAGAAACCTGACAAATGGGCTAAAAGAGATAAAGTCATTTTGTGTAGTTTTAGAGTTTCTCCTGGGAGTGTGACCTCACACAGGCCGGGGCTCGATGTTGCTGCAAGTAAGACTTGACAGGGCAGAATAACAGTGTGGAAGCTGCGCGGGTTATGGGTGTATAACCTCGTGGGGTGTAATGTTGGGCAGATGGGCGTGTGGCGTGGGGTAAGGACGGCGCCATTCACACGCCACCCGGAGAGCGGTGGAGGCAGGTCTCTGGGAGATGATACTCGCCATCTCGAAAAGCGGCTCAGTCACGACAAAGGACACAGGTTCAAAACCACAGGTGAGGCACAGGCAACGAAAGCAACAGATGAACTGGATTCCTAAATCCAAAGCTCCCGTGCAGCGAAGGACACAGTCCGCAGAGGGGAAAGGCAACCGGCTCGCTGGAAGGGAGGAAATAGTCACAAATCATGTATCTGGTGAGGGGCTGATATCCAGAATGTATAAAGAACTCCTACAACTCAACGCCAAAAAAACACAAACATGGGCCAAAAGCTTGAACCGATACTACTAACAACAACAAAAGAGAGGGCATAGAGAAACTGGGGCCCTGGTGCGCTGTTGGTGGGGATGTGAAATGGCATAACCACCGCAGGAAACACGTCAGCGGTTCTTCAAAACATTAAAGTCGAATTACCGTATGATCCAGCAAGCCTACCTCTGGGTATATACCCAAAAGACTCGAAGGCAGAGGTCTGACGAGATCTCTGCGTCTCATGTTCATAACAACATTGCTCACAAAAGCGGAGGAGTGGAAACAACTCAAGTGCCCATAGACAGAAAATGGGTAAACAAAATGTGCTATCTACATGCAATGGAATATTATTCGGTCTTAAAAAAGAAGGAATTTCTGACTCATAGATGAGCCTTGAGGATGTTAAGTGAAATAAGCCAGTCACAAATGGACAAGTAAGTATGCTTCCACCTATATGAGGTACCCAGAGTCGTCAAATTCGTCAAGACAGAAAGAATGGTGGCTCCCAGGGCCGGCGGGAGAGAGAATGGGAGTTATTATTTAATGGGGACAGAGTTTCAGTTTTGCAAGATGAAAAGAGCTCTGGAGATGGATGGCGGTGATGGCTCTGCAACAATGTGAATGTGTACTTAAGGCCACTGAATTACTAAAAATGCTTGAGGTGGTAAACTTTATGTTATGCTGTTTTGTCACAATTTAAAAGGGAGAAATGCAAATGATGAGCTTGAAATTAAACTGCCTCAGAAACGGCAAGAAAAATCAATATTTATATATATTATCTCTTTTCAACCCATTTTTGAAGTTACTGTTATAAACATCCAAAGTTATAATGAAATGGTGATTGTAATTTTACAGGTAATACCCAACCCATAAACCTACTATTTTAAGTAGGCACTGGACAGTTTCATCCTCTTCAGTTTATACACTCAAATTGGCCTAAAACATTTGGAGGGATCTTCTCTTTAGGAAAATGCAAGGGTGCCTTCCATCCCTTCTCACATGTTCAGGGAACATATGGAGTAATCTCCCATCCACACCAGTGCTCCCCCCCACGGGCTCTCCTTGGCCACCCTGGCCCTGTGAGCAGTCCTGGACTGTTCAGGCTCCCACCCACCTAGAACCCAGAGCTCAGGACCCCAAGACGCCCACGAAGCCTGGCTCCCTCCCCGATGGGCGCTTCCTAAATCCAGAGAGCAGTTAGTGTCTAAAAGGCTCGTGTTTGTGTGCTTTTTAATGTTCTTTTATTAAAAAGTAATGAGCTACTCAAAGAAATGACTGGAAACAGATTTTTTTAAATTGTCCCTTCATCCCAACACCTTGGAAACAGCATCCTTTTGCAGAGTCCCTTGGGGGATGTCACCTTCCAGCTGCCCCACAATGGGCTCCCTCCTGCAGGGCCTCTGCTCACAGGGGGCAGACAAGGGCTTGAGGCCTTGAGGGTGGAATCCTAATAATCATCACCACACATTGGGTGCGATGACAGGGACCAGGCCGCTGGCCACAATCTCTAGTCCCCCTGCCCCTATGTGCCATCAAGAATCCCCAGAGAAGTGTCTCTTTAGGTCCTTTGCCATTTTTTCATTGGATGTTTGGGGTTTTTTGGTGTTGAGTTGTCTGAGTTCTTTATCAATTTTGGGTATTAACCCCTTATCAGATGTATCATTGGCGAATATGTCCTCCCATCCAGTGGGCTCTTTTCATTTTGTTGATGGCTCCCTTCGCTGTGCAAAAACTTCTCTGTTTGACTTAGTCCCATTTGTTTGTTTGTTTTTCTTTTGTTTCCCTTGCCCAAGGAGATTTTTCAGACCTGAAAATAATACAAAATAATATTGAATATAAACAGTTAATTGACAAAAAACAATTTTAATTTTTAAAATTTTATTTTAATTTTTAAAAATAAAAATAAAATTTCTGGGGGGGGGGAATCTCCAAAGAGCAGCCTCTCCTTTCCTTACCCACTCCCATCCCCACCCCGAAGCCTCCGAGCTTCTCTCCATCCCCTAGACCATGCTGCCTCGGTTTCCCCAGACCCTTCCACCCTACGGGAGGATCTAGGAAGCCCACCTGCACCTGCATCTTCTCCAGCGTGGGCTGAGTCGGAGCATGCCCCTCCCCCACCCTTAGGGCTCCTGGGAGAATGAAGGGAGGGGGCGATCCCTCGGATCAGCCATCAGATTCCTCTGGTGCTGTGAGAAGCCACTTCTTGCCTGAGCCCTCGGCTGGTCCCTATGGGAGAGGCACATTCCCAACCAGTGAGCCTGCACCACGTGGACCATGTTATATTCCAAGGGCACTTGTCCCCTCCCCATCTTACAGAACCCCTTCCATTGCCTTGACACTGAAGGGTGCTCTCCCCATCACTTCTTCCTGCTCCTCCCTGGATTTTTCCGAAACTACACAGGGATGTGGGAGGGGTGGGAAGACAGATAACCCCGTCTCACCATGGAGGAGAAAAACTCCTTGCTGAAAATATGTAAGAGGTAAATCTAGGCTGATCTGGGAAGTACCGGAGGGCTTCTGGGAGGTGGTGACACTTACACCGAGACAGAAGGATGAACAGGAGTAAGCCAGAGAAAGGGAGTGGAGAGAACCTTCCAGGCAAAGGGAGCAGCCTGTTCGGAGCCTGCAGGCAAGAGAGGGTGTGAGCTGCCTGAAAAGCTGAACCAAGGCCAAGGAGCTGGGAGGGTAGGACAGAGAGCAAAGGGGAAGGAGGTAGAGACGAGGCCAGGGATGGACACAGGCCAGCAGGCCTCAGAGGCCCCTGCGAGATTTCTAGACTTGGAGGCTTTTCCTGGGTTTGGAAACATCTGAATCACCGAGCTCTGCCAGGGAGAATAGCTCTGGGGGCAGATGGTGCAGGCCAAAGTGTAGGTGGGAGCCGGGGTGCAGGGATGGAATTTTCTGCACCGGGCTATCTGGACCCCACAGAGCTCCAACAGGCCAGCTCACCACCCTTCCGAGGCTGCCTAGCACCCACAGGTGGCAGCGTAAGGCAGTGGCCCTGGGCCTGGCTCTGCTACTCTACAGACAGTGCGCTCCCCCCGCCGAGCCTCGCTCTCCTCATCTGCAGAACAGGAATCGCCAGCTACTTCACAGGCTTGTTTCGGGACTCCATGAGATCACAGATGTTGGAGGCTTTACAAAGGGCCGGGTATAGTAAGTCATCAATAAAGGTTAATTATTACCATCATTACTGTTATTGTTGTTATTGATGTTTGCAGACTGTCCCACCTCTTGAGTGCTGCTCCGTCTGCTGGTTGCTGGGCTGTTTCGGGGACAGACACTGCCAAACCCCAGGACCCCGATGGCTCTACTTTTTTGCATAAATGTGCATCTTGCATTCAGAAGAGCCCCTCCTTCCAAGGAGGGTCCGGCGGGGTTGCTCGGGGGACACATTCCAGAAAGAATAACTCTGTGTAACATGAAACCCTGAATCTGGAAACGCAACCTCTATGGGAAATCAGAGGATAAGGTCTGCTCTGAGGACCGCCCAACCTCATTCCATACAAAAGGGATATTGAAACCCAAAGGCCTCGTCACTTGGCCTCCTGCCTCTGGTCTCACCCCTCCCCACAGTCAGAGATCTTCCTAAAAAACAAACTTGACTGTGGCACTACACTGTTTAAACGCTCCCAAGGCTCCCTGCTGCCCTCAGGTTCAAGTCCATGTTCCTTATCTAGTCCCGCAATGCCCTGTGGTCAGGCTCCTGCCCACACCTGTGGCCATGCCCTTGCTCTGACCCAGCCATACATGCTTCCAATGGACCAAGTTCTTTCTTGCCCCAGGACCTTTGCATATCCAATGACCCTTGTGCCCCCTCTAACAGGTCACTACCAATTCTAGATTCAAAAGCCCACAGACCTAGTTGAACCCCCACATAGTAATGGAAAGTAGTAATATCATCCCCATTTTCCAGATGAAGAAACTGAGGCCCTGTGAACCACCATGTGGCTCCTGAAACTAAGCCCCAGGCCAGACTCTAGATCTTTCAGTATCCAAGAGGAAGCACTTGGCTGCACCTCATAACAGGAGGGTGCAGGTGGCTCAGATAAGAGAGTAAGCCAAAAAGAAAGGGGCCCATGTAGCACAGAGCAAAGGCACTGAATGCATTCAAAATCCATCATGGCCACTCATACGCATTGCATTTGACCTATCTGAGCCTCAGTGTTCTCATCTGTAAAGTGGGGCTAAATAATAATGCCTCCCTCTAAGGCGCATTGGGCATATTCGGGAATAACACATAGCATCTGCCTGTATGTGGTGGAGACACAGTGAATGGCACGTGTCACCCTCCCTGGATGCATCTGGGAGGCTGCACCAGTTCAGAGCAGCTCATCCCAGACTAGGCTTGCATCACCCTAGGTTAGGCTGTCGGGGCCTAGGAACCATCCTGGCCCTGTTTTCTGTTTTGTTTCCCAGCCTTTCCTTTGGAAAAGTCCAGCTTCCTCTCTGCTGGAAGAAGGCAGGAGGGGAATTGTTCATGCCTTTGCCTGGATGCCCAGAGGAGCCATGTGGGGAGGAGCCTGGGGCTTGAAGTCAGCTGGTCTAGGTTTGAATCCAGGATCTGACACTTAAGATGCTGTGTGACCCTGGGTAAGTGACTTCACCTCTCTGAGGCTCTGACTTCTTCACTTGTTAAAAAAGTCTCATGATTTCAACCTCAGAGGATACTGGAGGCCGATGGAGGGACTGAGGTGAGAGAAGATTCTGTGTGTGCTTCCCAGTGCACATACAGTGAGGCCTCTTGGGGAGGGACCAAAGATGGGGGAGAGGCGAAGGGTTACAACAGGAGTCACCAACACAAATGCCCCCTGGCAAACTAAAGAGGGCAGATGTCTGACCTGGGGTGGGGTGTTGGAGATGGCACAATTCAGCCCCAGATTACCAACACCCTGCTGGGTGAGGGTCTAAGAATATCAGGCCTATGATTTCTCAGGAGAAAAATCCATATTTTCATGTAAAATCTCATGAATAAAGTAAAATTCCAAACCAGGCAAAACTCCTGGACGGTGACAGAAACCAGGTCTGGTTTTGTGGGAGAAAGGCTGGGGAGTTAGTGCTGGGAGGGCAGAAGCAGAGATCTGGGGAGCCAGAAACCTGTTCTCTCCTGATCTGGGTGTTGGGGGCATGTGTGCCACTTTCTGCTTTGTGCTCTTCTCTATGTGTATATTATACTTCAATAAAAATGCTGAAATAATTTTAGAATAAATCGAGACTGCAGTGCTGGGAGGAGAGACAGACAGCATGGCCCAAACCAAACAGGCATCCGATGGGTACCCGCAGGTGGCATCCCAGGCACCCGTCAGATACCTGAGACAGGGGCTTGGGTGCTCCCGGCCTCTGACACCCTGGCCTGGCTCTTCACCCTGAGGGAGCACCCCTGCTTCCCGAACCACAAGGGAGGCACCCCCATCCTGCCCACCCTGCTGCCCTGTCCGGAGAGGGCTGGGAGCCACACCTCTGCCAGCCCGTCTCCCAGCCAGATACGTCTGAGCTCCAATTCTAGAGAAACAGGCAGACCCTGCCATTTAAATGATGAAGTGATGCCCCAAACCCCACCCTTACCTCTCATTCATTTCACTCCACCAAGCATCCCAGAGGACAGCAATCGAAGGCAGCAGAGTTCTGTTCCAAAACGCCTTCCTAGGATCTGGAGCTCACCAAGCCCGCCTCCCAGCCCACAGCTCCCACAGCAGACCCCACGGCTGCCCCCCAGCAGGCAGCCCCGTCAGAGGGGTGGCGGTCCTCAGTGGGCCGGCCCTGGCCCCGCCCCTCTGCCTGCCCGATATCTTGCTTTTATTCTCATTTTCACTCTCATTCTTTTCTTTCCGAGGGCCAACAGAAGGCGCACACGCCTCCTGTAGAAAGCGGCACTGGCCAAAACAAATGCACATCAAATGCATTTATTTGCACAGACACTCATAAAAACTTTACTAGACACCAAATAATTACAGGAAGGGGCGAACCTCCAACTCCACTGATCCCCAGCATTTTGAAGTGGATTGAACATAAAGATCAAATAGGACGGGCGCTGGGCCCGCATCACACTCAGCCACCCCCTTTCCCAGCCCAGACCCTCCCGAGGGAAACCAATGAACTTTCTTGCTTTTGTGAATGTGTCCAATTCATATAAAACGTCTTTCTGTGAGTTATTCTTAGTGTCCTAATGGGGCTTTTTTGGTTCCAAATATGGTCCTTGGTCGTCTCTTTGTTCTGGCTCGAGCACTTTGCCAGTGAAACCCCTGGTTTTGGATGGGCTGCTGAAAAAACCCAGCCCATCCATTTGGTAAGAAATGCAAAGATTCTTGAGGAAAGTGCCGTTTAAAAAGTAAATATCACCGGTGCCTTGAGAGTCCCGTGCAGTTTTTTCTAATGCAATGGGCTGGACCCCTAATTCTGTTCTCCACCAAGAGCCCTGGCACTGGGTTCCACAGGCTGCCTCTGCTGGAAGTCTGGGCACTGCCTGGGGGTGGGAGGTCTCCTGTGTCCAGTCCACAGCTGTGGGGATCTGAGTCTCACCTGCCCCAAAGGAAGGGAGATGGCCAAGCTCAGTGTGGTTTCTTCTTGGGCTCTGGTGGGAGGAGGAGCTGTGATTTTCCCAAGTCCTGAGGACTCCCTTCCATCCAATCATTTACCAAATATTTCTAGAGCCCACTATGTGCCACGCACTTTGGTGAGCACTTACACGACATGTTGTCTTCTCCACAGCTGTGGAGGGAACATGCTGTCCTTATGCCCACTTTACAGATGTGGAAGCTGAGGTGCAAAGAGAGAGAGCAGGACTTTCTTGAGGTCCCACACCTAGATCCTGAACCAGGGCTGGGTGACTCCCACAGATCTGCTCTGGACCACTCCTAGCCCCTGCCTGGCCAATGGAAGACCTTAGACCAGGGCCACCTGGCCAGGGCACTGTCCCTCCCTGAGCACCAGCCCTGGGCTGACAGCACCCTTTGGATCTAAGGGAGCATGCTCTCCTGACCCACCAGGGAGGAATCTCATAACTAATGACCCAGACCTTGTGCTGAAAGTTCATAGGTCTGTAGCCAGAGATCCCACCAGCTGGTTGAGGGTGGGACCGAGCTGCGGGGAACAGAGGACCTTTGCTGGCCTGGGCAGTCCCCCACACTGCACAGAGGCACACCCGAGCATACAGCCTCAGTCCGAGTGGCACACACTGTGCCTCACCAGCAAACTCTGCCTGAAATCCCATCCCCTGCCACCTCTCCTGTCTGCCTAGAAAACCCCAGAAGGAGGAGAACCTGCTCCCAGCCCTGAGTCAGAGGGACTGCAGCTTGGACCTCTCCCCAGTCACTCCTCTCTTTGGACCTCCATCCAACTCAGGGTCTCTGAGTTCTTGGAAAGCACAAGATCACAGACGCTTTCCCCTGGCCTGTGGGAAGGTAACCAGGTTAGCTATCACACACATCCATCTCTTTGCTAGCTGAGAAGGGGCCTGAGCCTTTGACCTACATGTCCTGGGGCCAAGCACCCTTGGGCCTGCGGAGGGGAGCATGGGGACTTCTGTGGGTGCCATCCATCTCCACTTCCAGAGCTCCCAGGTCTCCTGACCCCAGGGCTGCCTCCCAGAATAGCAACTCCCAACCGGGCCGTGGCTTGGGGAGGCTCGGGTTCAGTCCGGCTGATTCCCATGGATCCATCCGAGCGGCTCTCCAGCAGGGCCGCATCCCGGCCCGTAGCTCCTCCTCTGCACTTTCCTGCCCCAGGGCACGCGGCCCTGCCGGGGGTCCAGCTCCTGGTAAACTGGGAGGGTACCGGGGCTGGGCTGCGGTCAGTCAGCACCGGGAAGGGCCAAGGGAGGGGGCGGGGATGCGCCGGGCTGCAGCTCGGGCTGGGAGGGAGGGGGGCGCAGGGCGCTAAGAAGGGGAGCCACGGGGAATGGGGAGGGCTCAGCGAAGACGGGGCGCGCACAGGGTCTGGGAAGCCCAGACTCCGACCTTAGGGCTTCCCTCGCCGGTTCTGCTTCTTCAAGCCAAGCGATTCCGCACAGCCGCCTGAGTCTTTCCTTAGGTGGAGAAAATCTGCAGCTTTTTCTGCGGCTGAAGTCGAGCCGGAGAGAGTCCCGCCCTGGCCGGAGCCTCCGCGCGTC